CTGCCCCTGTCTGATTCTCTTTTTTTCGTAGCTTTCTTTTATCTTCCCTGTTAATTCCCTTTGACACCTGCCACAGAGGCTAATGTTGTATTACTAAACCAATACCGCTAATGAGCTCAGTCAGGCAAGCACTAGAATCACCCCTTCTCTTATATGCATTCGCCAACAACAGGCGGACAAAGTCTTCCCCCTTTTTCCTTAGTACTGTTGTGCTTCTTCTTGCTAGAAGCATCTGGCCAGCTTTTCGGACCAGATGCATGCCCCGTCACAATGTAACAATGATCCCGGAAGGTGGCTAACTTGCTACAGATTTGAGGTACACGACTATGACCGCGTTGATAAACGACTCAACGTAATGGGGAGAGCGATCGACGCGGCTAATAGTAATGGAAACAAGAATGGAACGGGGAGATCGCGGCCATCACGACTACGAAGGAGTAACAAAGGCGATGTGCGCAATCACAAACGGGAACCATATGTACCAGGAAGGAAGAATGAATCTTTCCCTAGAAGATAGAAAGGTACATGTTTGGTTTCTCCCTCTTTCCACTCGTGCCTGTCCCCATCCCACCAGCCCACAACGCTCATACCACCGCAAGTGCTCACGCAGACCAGATTCTATTGGTGCCGTTATGCTCGCAGTAGTCCAAAACCTCCTCTCAACACTTCACCCTGCCCGATTCTATAAAGAATCAGCGAAGATATCAGTCCCTCCTCCTACCATCTCCGCTCTTCTCGACATCTCTTCGTTGTTCTTTCCCTTACTAACGTTTATTCTGCTGACTTTGTACTAAATCTAACCTCGCTATTCGATTCGCCTTGTCCTAGAACCTTGGATTTGACTCTTGCTTTGCCGAAATCCGCTAAGGATTGGGGCTGCTATGCCCTTTCTACCCTCGTCACTTTCCTTTCTCTTTCACTTCCACCATCTCCGTGCAAGATTTTTCTCTATTAACTCCCATATCACTAACTTTCTTCTAGAATTAACGTCATCATTCATTTCGCTCTATCTAATAACCCTCAAATCCATTTTCTCCTTACCTAAAACCGTGAAGTATTGTGAGAGCTACCTTCTCCTCACTGTGCCCATACTCATTCCTTCCACCATCTCCTTTACCGAACGTATTCCTCGCTGTGCCCATGCTCATTCCTTCCACCATCTCCTTTACCGAACGTATCTGGTGCAGAAACCCCGCCAGATTCACTCCATCCTTTTTCCTCTCTCACAGTCTTACCTCGTCTCCAGTTCACTCCTTCGTCACGTTTACTTTCCCTTGCGCTATGCTGCTTGCTAACCCGAAAAGCACAAAAGGTGTTGACTGATACAGGCAGCAAGACAGTGTTCTCGGATGCCGAACCCAGCTAAAGAGTGAGTAACAACTCACCTGCCAAATCTCTCAGCCTAACAAGCGGTTGACATTGGAATGCACGACTTATGCTCGTCTGTAGTGGTGATTTCGTGCCCCATCGAAGTAGGAGGGCATTGTGCCTGCTGCGTCGCGTGCATCTGGAAGGTAAGCAAGTCCTGGTACAAATTTTAATGGTAGTGGTAAATATTCAGGTAAGAACTAAAAAGATCCGAAGTGGACACAGGCTCCATGCGCCTGTGGCCTCCGCCATTGTGCCCTGGGCCGTTCTGCCCAGGCACAATTTGCTCTTTCTAGAGTCCCAACGAGCATGCTCACGCTCGTGTCGCATTGAGGGTGCGGGCTTGCTGCGGACTTGCAGCATGAGCCCCGGTGTGGCGGGACCCGGTGCAGATCTTGACGGTAGTAACAAATTTCAAATGGGAGCTTTGAAAGTCGTCGGGGACAAATTTCAAATGAGTGCTTTGAAAGTCACTGGTCAGTCTAATGGCTTGTCCTGCGGTTTCGTTGGCAGTAGCCACAACTGATCACTGGTCAGTCTAATGGCTTGTCCTCCCGTTTCCTTTGGTAAATGTTTCCACATTTGTTTTCCACCTAGGCCGCATTTTTCTACAAAGACAACCGCCAAATAGATGACATGTTTTTTTTTTTTTTTTTTTTTTTTTTTTGCGGACATGTTTTTCAATTGGACGGGAAATGCAATCCAAATAGTGAACATGTTTTTCAACTACCTTCTTCCACGGAATACAACGTACGGTCAATAACAATTTACAATCTTGGGGATGATGGGTTCCTTAGATTTATCCCAGACCAGAACCCCAATTACACTCACAAAGATAAATTATTTAGGATTAGAGTACTATCGATTAAGGATAGATGGCTGGCCTATAAACCGGACACACCCATCTCCCATCTCCCTCTGGATCCGGTGAGTTGGTCGTGGTCATCTAATATAAGTCCCAAACACACTCATACTAGGACTCTTTATACGCTGTCAGTAAAATCCTCATACAGAATGCTGCATCCAAGGTTAAAATTAAAAGATAAAATAGAAGAGAGATGGATGAGACACCTAAACGTGAGTAAGGAGGAATTTCGAAAAGATAAAATAGAAGAGAGATGGATGAGACACCTAAACATGAGTAAGGAGGAATTTCGATCGGTCAAATGGTTCCATTTCGTCAAATCCAAACCAGCTAAAATGACATCCCTCCAATGGAAGATTACTCACCGCTGCCTGCCAACAAACGACTTGATCATTGACAGATCTACTCAAGAACAGAGAGGTTTTGCCCTACCTTGGTGTAAGTTTTGTAAGTCTGCCTTCCCGTCTAAATTAATCCCGGAAACAATAGAACATATTTTCCTACAATGCCCAGGGGCGGTATGGCTATGGCGTTGGTGGAATAGAATCTGGAACCAGACAGAGACCTCTTTACCTTGGCCATAGAACTGGAAAGCCCTTCTCCTAGAAGCATGGTCTCCTCCCTGTGAAGATAATTTCACGACAAATCTATTTACAATTGGGAGAAGAGCGCTTGTGTGGGCCATATGGACTCGCAGGTGCACATTTGAAATGGAGGAAGCCCGTCTCGATGGGCCTGAGTTCACGGAATCTATCAAACAGCAAGTTCAACTAGAGATAACAGCGAGATGGGAAATGTTAAAAGCCAAACTTCAATTTCTCACAGCAAAAAACGAAATCCAACAACATATTAAAATGTTTAATCTAAACTGGCTGGGAGGGGAACAAGGTGGTACTATTGGGCAGGTTAAATGGTCAGGGGAGGATGAGAATGCACAAGGAAAACTTTCAAGGGATTACCTCTTAGTCTTTAATGACTGGAGTAACGTTGATCCTTCCATCCCTCTCAGTCCCCTTTCCGAGTTTCCAGACCCTTTTCCTCCACCCAATTCAGTTCTGGTTCCGCTCTCTTGGTACGGAGGAGAGTGATCTCATATATAGATGGTAAAAGAAGCCAAACTTAAATTTCTCACAGCAAAAAACGAAATCCAACAACATATTAAAATGTTTAATCTAAACTGGCTGGGAGGGGAACAAGGTGGTACTATTGGGCAGGTTAAATGGTCAGGGGAGGATGAGAATGCACAAGGAAAAATTTCAAGGGATTACCTCTTAGTCTTCAATGACTGGAGTAACGTTGATCCTTCCATCCCTCTCAGTCCCCTTTCCGAGTTTCCAGACCCTTTTCCTACACCCAATTCAGTTCTGGTTCCGCTCTCTTGATACGGAGGAGAGTGATCTCATATATAGATGGTAAGAGATTGCCAGGATAAAAGGTACATCTGGCGCCCGATCAGGGTGAAGAGGCAATACTGTCCCTAGTAACTGAAGTATCTATTTTGAAGCCAGAGGACGCTGGACCTGGTTTCCAGCAAGTGTCGGATCGCTTTGAGATGCTGGATCTTTGGTTATTTTTGAAAATTCAAGGGACGCTGGACCCGGTTTCCAGCAGGTGCATTATTGTTGTTAAAAAGGGACGCTGGACCCGATTTCCAGCAGGTGCAGCTCCCCACTAATAGATTGGAGCAATTTCCAAAAAAAAAAAAAAAAAAAAAAAAAGCTGTATTTTGTTTGGGGTATGTTTCGGTCTAAATACATAGGTGTATTTTGTTTGGGGTATGTTTCAGTCTAAATACATAGCTGTATTTTGTTTTGGGTATGTTTCAGTCTAAATACAGCTATAATGAGGGTACGTTGTATTCGGGTAAAGAAGGTAGAGTCAGCCCATGCATTGAACAGTACCAGTAGCTTGCCCACACATTGGCCGTGGGCCTCTCACAGCGACTCTTCGAGGGCCGAAATGCCGAAATGCGACAATGGCCCCCGATGAAATTTGTCAACAGGGTCCCATCGCCAATGGCTGCTGATGAAATTGATCAAAGGCCACACAGCGCCCAAAGTTGTGGCTATTAAACCACCAGTACTTGGCCCAGCTATGAAGTCTGAGCCTCAGCCGACTGGTGTGGCAATCCGTGCCCAGGCTCACACTACCAGGTGTTCACTTCCCGGACCTACTGCTGAAAGAAAAGGGAAAAAATATAGAAAAAAAAAAAGAACATCCCACTAGTCAAAAAAAAAAAAAAAAAAAAACATCCCACTAGTAAAAAAAAAAACATCGGACTGCCAATGTACCGTGAAAAAAAAAAGAGAGAAAAAATAAAACCAAAAAAAAAAAAACGGTTCTGCTTTTTGTTCCCATGCGGGAGGAAGGGGGGGGGGAGAGAGAGAGAGAGAGAGAGAGAGAGAGAGAGAGAGAGAGAGAGAGAGAGAGAGAGAGAGAGAGAGAAATGGAGGTCCTGGAGACTTTGACTAGTCGTTTGAGAGTGTAGAGTTTTAAGGACTTTGACTAATCGTTGGAGAGCATCCAGTTCAACTCCCTTTCGCTCTCGTCTTTGTGCGATGACTTTAGCACGGCAGGCATGATGAAGACGGGATGAGGGGAGGGAAGGTGGGTCATGCTGAGTGTGACTTTAGAGACATTGCTACGTGCTACTATGCTACAAGTGACGATTTTGCATTCTCTTAGACGGCTATCTGTTTGCTGTGATAACGATTACTTCGGTGTAGTCTGCTTGTACGTACCGGTTGGGGCGACCGTTAATGCGGAAGCCGGATCGGCCTGCCCCTCCATTCCAAGTTCATTGGAGGCCGGGGGGGGTACGAAAAATGCGGTAGGTACTGGTGCGGAAGCCGAATCGGCCTGCCCCTCCATTCCAAGTTCATTGGAGGCTGGGGGGGTACGAAAAATGCGGTAGGTAAAACCACCAGTACCTACCGCATTTTTCGTACCCCCCCGGCCTCCAACGAACTTGGAATGGAGGGGCAGGCTGATTCGGCTTCCGCATTAACGGTCGCCCCAACCGGTACGTACAAGCAGACTACACCGAAGTAATCGTTATCACGGCAAACAGATAGCCGTCGAAGAGAATGCAAAATCGTCACTTGTAGCATAGTAGCACGTAGTACTGGTGGTTGTAATGAATGCTTTCAGTAGTTCGCTATGACTGCACTTTGGTGTAACAACGGGGGTCATAGGAATTTTATTTATTGCTGTAGGCTTTTTATGGAAAATAACTGCAGTTCCTTGTCATATGTGGGCACCTGATGTATACGAGGTTCTCCTACTTTTGTCACAGCTTTCTTTTCTATAACACCTAAGATTGCTGTTCTTGCAGACATGGGAGCAGATGGAACACTCGTGCGGGCAGTTTGCATATCCAAGAGTGGACAGGGTCTGGGGATAACATAGCCTTCTCTGACCATGGGGGAAACGGAAGGATCAGAAAGTGCAAAGAGGGGCAGAAGCTCGCGGGGAAGGGGCCATGTTGGTATACAGGAGAGACGAAGAAGTCCACACAGACAGAGAGCTACATATAAATCGATGGCCCAGTACTGCGTATGCCAGACTACTACACAGCAACGACCCCGGTGTGGTACTGTACCATTGGAAACTGGCTCTGCCCGGCAGTGGGTGCGAGGAAGGGGATACAACAGAGTGAAACACACGGACTACAACTGGGAAACTGGTTCTGGCCCTACAGCGGGTGCGACGAAGTGGATAAACAGAGTGTAACAGAAGGAGTACTACTGGGGAACTGGTTATGCTCCTACAGTGGGTGCGAGGAAGGGGAGAAAATGGAGTGCAACTGTGGAACAGGAGTGCAGGAAATATGGGTCCCCGGATGATGTGGTAAAGGAGGCTAACGTAAAAGGTTTTAGGGTACACTGGTCCTTCAGCAGCACGAAGGCCAACTTATGTGTACTTAACCTCAAAAAAGGGATGGTGTTCACTCATGTTTAAAGTAGGATGGACACGTGGCATGGTTACATAACTTTTGTTTACAAAATGCCCCTTCCTAAAATGTTGAGGGACGCTGGGCCCGCTTTCCAGCAGGTGTTGCTCCCCACCAATAGATGGAGCCTCCCCGAGTATGCTAGTGGTGTCTGCTCTTATCAGCACCCCTAGCACTCACCCGGGTTGATTCTTGTGCAAAAAAAAAAAAAAAAAAAAAAAAGATTTAGCAAGAAAAAATTACGGTTACTCGAGAGGATCAAAAAGAGAAAGAAAGTTGAAGTTGGGATTAAGGCGCGGCGAGAAAATGGCATAGAAAAGAGTGTGTGCAGTTACCGCTATGACCAGCCAAAATATAGGGTGCCAAAAATCCTATGGTATCCCTTAAGCAGCATTGGTCACAGGGGGGGAGGTCTATGGTCTGCTGCGCGTTGGATTTGAGTCGAAGTTTTGGTGAGGGCCGGCTGATGAAGGCAATGGAGGGTGGGGGAGCGTGCGGATCACAGCGCGCCCCTGGGGTGGGCCACACGGCGGGGGTTGATGTAGATGAAAATCTTGGAGGAGAATCAAAAAAAAAAAAAAAAAGATTGCTGTTCTTGCAAATATGTTATGTGTGTTTCTTTTTAGTTTTTATGATCCAACATGGCAAACAATCGTCTTTTTTTGCAGTATCGCTTCTGCGCAGGCTGGCAGTTGGGTACAACAGTACAACTGCAATCTGGCGGTACCAACCGGGAATAGGGAAGGAGCTCAGGGCATTTGGGGGGTAAACACGCAAGATGCCTGGTTTAACCAGGCACGACAAAATTTTCATCTTTTACAAAGTTGCTTAAGCATCTGCAGATGAAATTTCCCCCTTCCTTTTCTGTTGATGATAATTTGTTTTTCTGTGATGTTTCTGTGTGCTGTCGTCTGTCTATTCTCTTCTGCTGTGTGGCATTGCGTGCAGGACCCACCTGTGAATCGTTGGGGTGGCAAGCTGCTCAAAATCTGAGTTTCAACCTAAGAAAAAAGGACAAAAAGTTCAGCATTAAAAAAAAAAAAAAAAAAAAAAAAAAAAAAAAAAAAAAAACTGTCGTTCAGGCAGGGGATATGAGCGTAGACAATTTACAAGATTCGCCTTTGCTGGCCTGTTCTTTTCGTCGGGACACAGAGGAAGAAGACCTCCACTGCAAGAATGATGACAGAGAGAGGCACGGTGGAAGCAACAACCCCCCACCTCTGCATCTGGGTGGGGAGAGGGGAGGAGGTGGCTGTCGACGGCAGAGGGAGGAAGCCCCCCCCCCCCACCAACTGGAGGAACCTAACCCGCACAATGGGGGGGAGGCATCAAATCCCCGCCCCGGCCAGCTGAAAGATACTACCCCCCGCAGTAGGGGGGAGGCATCGAATTGGGGTTCGCATAAAAAGAAGCGGTGCCAAAGGAGTGCAGCAAAGGCAGCATTGTCAAACATCAAGGCCAGCATCCAACAACAGCAGGAGGACACAATACGGATGATGGATGCTTTGCGGAGGGGGGGAGAAGCCCCTCCCACATATGAGTGGAAGAAGGAGATGGGGAAGACGGAGATGGTGGAGAAGGGGATGGGGAAGATGGAGATGGCGGAGAAGGGGATGGGGAAGACGGAGATGGCGGAGAAGGAGATGAGGAAGAAGGAGATGGTGAAGAAGGAGATGAGGAAGAAGGAGATGAGGAAGAAGGAGATGGTGAAGAAGGAGATGGGGAAGAAGGAGACGGGGAAACTTCATCAACTGGAGAGAAGAGGAAGAAATGAAAACACTGAAGTGCTGGCTGATGCAATCCGTAAGGCAGGAGAGGATCTTGCAGCATCCATGGCTGCCATAGCTGCTACCTTGGGTTCCATGAAATGAGTGGGAGAAGTCGAAGGAGCAAGGGGGAAGGGGGAGCATAAAGCATCATGTGGATGGACAGCTGTCCGACAACTGTTTTTTTTTTTCGTGCAATCATTTATCTTTTTGTTTTACTAAGTTCACCTATACTTTTTTTTTTTTTTTTTTTTTTAGACAATAAAATGAAATTGATCAGTGGGACTCTGGGCCGGGACCTACATACTTTCAAGTTTCGATAAAATGAAATTGATCAGTGGGACTCTGGGGCTGGGAGCGACTAGGTCCAATTTACGCCTGTGCTCTGTGGTTTTCAATCACATGCGGCCGTCCGTGACAAACGTCAATCGTTGATCGTGCACCGTATCGACTGCTAGTGTCGATTGTCTTCGTTTTCGTCGAGGTAGCTGCCCATCGGCCAGTAGAAAAATTTTAAATTTATTTGTTGGCCACTTTTTGCGTTGGCGGGAAGCTTCAACTCTATGGTTGTTGTTTTTTGGGGGGGTTGTGTTTGAAGCTTCGCACCGTGATTTTTTTATGTGCAGAAATAGAGAATGTTGAGATTTCCGTGGAAGACTGACAGTTCAACGCAACGTGGCAGACGGCGTCATTGTAGGTTTAGGTTTAGATAGTAAAAGATAGCGAGTACAAACAAGACTAAGCACAGAAAGCACCAAGCACTTTGTACAAGCTCATCCAAAACTTATCGTACACTGCGTGTGTACGATGCACACCGCGAGTGTACTGATTACAGCAAAAGAGCAAAAACGGCGTTCGATTGGGAACTGGCAACCCCGACCGGTTTCGACCGCCGCCACGCAGTCGTCCTCAGGAGGCTTCTCCACCACACTTCATCCCTCAACTTCGTCGTCGTTCCCCTTACCCCTCCTCGTCAATCTCCAGATTAGCATCGGGAGGACGAGGACCCAAAAGAGGTCGAAGCAAAAGCAGTTCTGCTGTTATATTCGTCCTACTACCTACGACTATTCCTAACAAGTCAACACCCGCCGAAAATCAAAATTCAAAATTGAAAACCCAGTCGCAAAACAAAACGTGTTCTAGTACCGCACCCCTCCAGTAACCGGAACGTTCGGTAGACTACTTCCGGTAGCCACTTGGGCCTTACCGGTACCATCTAGTACCGTCGCCGATACCGCGCCAATCAGAAGCAAGCCTACCCCAAAGTTCCTGCCATCGATAGTCGACACTAGAAAATTCATCTATTCAGACACCGGAAACTGCAAACACACCAAGCTGACAGACGTCCTACAAAAAAACAAAGACAGCGTCCTTCAGCCGAAAACATCCCTATCCAACTAACTCCTCGCCACACATGTACGGTAATTATTACTGTTACAAGGAAAGGTATGCTCTCCGAATTCAAGTATGCTCCCCAGACAACTGCGAACCAGTACGACGAACACCCTGTCAGATTTTAGAACCCTTATTCCTATTCAACCAATCAAACAGTGCGTGATTGTAGGCCAGTTGGTTTCCTTGCCGCCAGTTGGTTTCCTTGCCTTTTCCCCGGCGCTAACGCATGAGAACAAGGGATGCACAGGCGGTCCTGTCATGATGTCGATGTCAGACTGATTTTTTTTTTTTTTTTTTGCGTCCTTTTCTGTAGCGGACCTCGGGTTGGCCTGTGAGACCAGCCCCTTGGCCTGTTCTCACAGGCCTGTGTTGTATTCGGGGTAGGCCAGTCCAGGCCGGTACCTCTGTCGGTACCAGCCAGACCAGTCCAGTCCCATCAGTCCGCTGGGGTATACCCCAGCCATTGTCTGTTTTCAGTCTCATTCTTCACTTGCACATTTTGGAGTACGTTGGAGTCTTGCGTGGGGAGCTGCGCTGTGCACCTTGCTCCCTCCTTCTTCCTCCATCTCCATCTCTGTCACCAGCGGAGCACCACACCTGGTGGGTCCGCTACATTGGTATCGGAGCGGGAACGGTCCCCGCCCCCACCCACCACACCGCACAGCAGGGAAATACGGCAAAACCCGACAGTCGGGTTTTTGGCTGTTTTCCGGCCGTTTTCGGGCGAAAAAGCGGGAAAAACAGCGAAGAAAGGTGCTAGCTCCACGTGGCGCAAAAGGAAGCCGCATCACGACACGTGCGCGCAAGCGCCAAGGCCAAGGCCGCCGCACGCGCGAGCGCGCCACGCGCCCACGCTGCCCCGCTGCCCCGCCCCGCCCCGCTCCCGGATTTTACATTATCAAGATCCAGGATGCAAATGCTGCCATTGGGGTTTGAACCCAAGCACCTGCCGAGCCATCTTTTTCTCTCCCCCCACCTATTTCGTTTTTTTCTCCCTCACTTTTCATTCCCCTTCCCCCCTATTTCGAAAATTTTTCTGTTTTTCTTCTTTCCACCTCTCTTTTGATTTATCTTTTCTCTTTTTCCAAAAATTCAAAATATTTTCTTTCCCACCTTCTTTTCTCCTTTTCTGATTTATTTAATTTATTTTCCTATTTATTCTGAAAATTCGATTTTCTCTAAGGCAACCCTAAATCTGATTAGTTGTTAGTTTTCTCATCTTCTTCCCCACCCTCTTTTCTTATTTTTTGATTTATTTTATTTATTTTTACTTATTCTGAAAATTCTTGGCGGCAACCCTAAATCTGATTAGGTGTTAGCCTTTCTTGCTTTCGGCACACATTTCGACCCCATGGGGGTAACGAAATGCTGCCAAAATTTTTGAAAAATCAGATAACCCATTTCTCCCCACCTCCTCACACACTTATTTACT